TCTGATTTAGTCGGGCTGAAGTTGCAAACTCATCTTCTAAGCCCTATAGATGTTTAGCATCAAGCTTGGTCAAGCCACCTGGTTTACTAAATGACTGATATAAACCATGATTGTTCACATCGTATAGGAAACGCACCCCTTCTAAACTTGTTCAAACAGTGATACTTCTTCCACTACATTTCAAGTGAGGACATTTCTGCACATCAAGAGTTTGTATGTCCTGAGATGTAGTGCATCCCTTGGTGAGAGATGGTGATGCCTTTTCTGTCATGTAAGACACATTCCTATATTTCCATTTAAATAAAACCCTTTTGGAATGTATTTCACAGATCTGAGTATTTAATTTATTTGGTTATTTTCACATAGAAATCCAGTTCAACCATGGAAGCAGTAACTCATTAAGAAAAAATATTAAAGTGGAACATATCACCAGTGAAGAACATAATTTCTTTTTTTTAAGAAAATTAATTTGGATAACTAACCTTCAGTAACTGGACCTGCAGTCCTCAAATCCTTTAATCAAAGACTTTGTGGCTAGCCATGTCTCAATTTTATAATTTTGAGAATTTAGAGAGGTATACATTGCATTTCACATATTAATTAATATTCCATGGCAAACATGTGGCAAACATATGGACAACTTGCCCAAAGTAACATAAGTAAAGACCTTTTGTCTTATTATCATCTCATGTCCATTTTCAGTAAGGAGTTAGGATAGCCCTTTCTCAGTTTTCGGAATTTGGAAAGAGTTAACATGTATTAGTGGACAAAGTTAGCACAGACAGCAGATAGACCCAGAAGAACAAGAAAAGTCATTAAAAAAAATTACGACAGGGAGAATATCCACAAAACTTTTAAGGCCAGAGAAGGAGTGCTTGATTTGGACTTTCTTTCTTTTTTTTTTGTTTTTTGCGGTACACGGGCCTCTCACTGTTGTGGCCTCTCCCATTGCGGAGCACAGGCTCCGGACGTGCAGGCCCAGCGGCCATGGCTCACGGGCCCAGCTGCTCCGCGGCGTGTGGGATCCTCCTGGACCAGGGCACGAACCCGTGTCCCCTGCATCGGCAGGCGGACTCTCAACCACTGTGCCACCAGGGAAGCCCTGGACTTTCTTATAAAAGTAGGAGGCTTTCTGAGAAGAAAGCCAATACACAGTCTTCCTTGCTGGGGGTCAAGGTTACATCAGCGAGGCCACAAGCTGGGGACACTGCTGTGGGTGAGAGCTACACTAGTGATGGCGGGGCAGCAGCCTCTCAGGGGGGACACCTGTGACACACCAACTGCGAGCAGGTGCTCAGATACCCCTGCAACATGACTTCATATGACTCTGGAAAACATCTTCAGATCCAATGAGAAATGTGTTTGCTAGGAAAGGATACCAAATGCAGAAAGAAAAAAAAAAATCAGAGATGTATAAATACAGTGGGGTGGGCAGAAAGGCCTCAAAGATGTCCAGGCCCTAAAGAAAGGAACTGTGAATATGTTACTTTGCATGGCAAAAGGGATTCTGCAGATGGGATTATGGTTAGGAAGACTGTCCTGGATTATCCAAGTCGATCCAGTCTAACCACATGAGCCCCCTTAAAGTAGAGGACTTTCTCCAGCTAGAAGAAGGGGAAGTCAGAGAGATGCAGCAGAAGGAGAACAAGAACAAAGAGCGATTTAAAGATGAAAGGGACTTGACCCGCTGCTGCAAGAACAGGCCACACAGAAAGCATAAGGGATGTGGGAAACCTCTAGGAGCAAAGACCAGCCCCCAGCTAACAGCCTACAGGAGATCAGTGTCTCAGTCCTACACCCACAAGGAACTGAGTGAGTGTGTATGCAGGAGCATCAGGAGGGCAGTTCTGACTGCTGCCCTCTGAAAGGCCTGCTTGTAAGGCTGGCCCATTCCCAAGACTCTAATGATAAAGGTGGCTTACTGTGCCTAATGTTTGTTCAAACAGTGTGGTTCATACTCAATACCTGCCTTCCTTCTGGAAGTCTGGAATTTTGTTACATGCAAGGCAGAGGGTGCCTACATGAGCAGCCCCCAGTACATGAGCTCCCCTGGTTGGTAATATTCCATGTGGGTTGCTATAACTCACTGCTGGGGGATTAAGCTAGTCCCGTATGACTTCCCTGGGAGAGGACTGTAGAAACTTGGGCCTGATTTCCTATGGACTTCACCCCATGCACCCTCTTCCTTTGCTCCTTTTGCTCTGTGTCCTTTCACTGTCCTAAATCATAGCTGTATGACTACACACTGGTCCTGTGAATCCTCCCAGCAAATCACGGAACCTGGGGAAGGTTCTGGGAATCTCCAGACACCTTGAAGGACAAGTCTTCCCCAGAGCCTCCAGGAAAAATGCCCTAAGCAGAGAACCCAGCCAGGTCTACTGTACTTTAGACCTACAGAACTATGACATAATAACTCTGTCTTGTATTAGGTCACTAAATCCATGAAAATTTGTGGAAGCAGTGATAGGAAATTAAGTAAATGGCATCATGAATAAACATATTACTTTCACTAATGAAGAGTATAATATCTCAAGGAAAATTTTTAAAATCTTAAATTCATTCTCAAGTTAACATCAGCAATTCATATCTAAAACAACCACCTGAAGAAGGGGTAGAACCTCTGGTAAGGTGTATGGTTGACTTTTAAGAGCAGCTGACATTTTGTGAGAGGTCTGGAAAGCAGACAAACCAGCCCAATCTTTTTAAAGAAACTGTGAGTATAATGTCAGAATCATCAACTAGTGTGATTTACTGCTGTCAATGCCCGTTTGTATAGTCGGGCCCAGATTAGGACATGAATTCACTTAACCCAGGGTGGTGCACGCGGAAGACGTGAGGATGAGCCCTTTTCCTAAAGGAGCTCAAAATGTGAGAGGAGAAACACCTGCACTGGAGCTTCAAGGATCACTAAGCTGAGACCAAGGGCTACAGAGAAGCACAGAACAGGGAGCTAAGGAAGGCATCCTACCAGAACGTAGATTCCACTCATTCATTTTAATTCAGCGAACATTTACCAACGTGCTTGCCCCAGGCATAATGAAGTGCTGGGGACGTAGGGAGGGATGCAAACTCAGCAGGAGTGTAAGTCAGGCCACTTTACCCATGTTTACTGTGTGATAGGATGGATAGGATTGAGGGGTCCACTTCTGTCCTCACCTGCATGATCTAGGATTAATAATGCCACTATATTCTTGACCCTACTTCCCCAAGGGTGCCTGACCTTTAAAGAAATCAGCAGATGGTGATGCTTACATATGATTCCTCTCCAACCTGATTAACTAAAAACAAGAATTTTTAGAGTTGCTCAATCAGATGGGATTGGAGCAGGGCGAAAATATGAACCTTAATTAATACAATGAAGAATAAGTAGGCATTAACTATTAGTTAACTAATTTTGAAAAATAATATTTAATTTTGAACAAAACTTCCCTATGTAAGTAGATGTTTCACTAAGCTTTAACTTACTTAAGCAATATTGACCTTAACCCTGCTTTGGACTTGGTGTTCTTAGAATGAGCACAGCATTAATATCTGCTTCTGATCATACACATGGCAACTACTTGTTTGGAAACCCTAGGTCAGCCAGCCCTAAAAGCACTCACATATCCCCTCCCACTTTGTTCTTTTATCTAGTATTAGACAACTAACTAGTTTTTCTTGATTCAATTTGCATCAACATTTATTGACTAACTAATAAAAGCTCCAGGGATAAGAAATTAAGTAGAACACAATCTATTAAGTTATAATAAGTTACAGAGTTCTAAGGAAATTCAAATGAGGGCAGTTACCCAACGAATATTATCATTTTGCTGCCTATTAGTTTTATAGATAAGCTATGTGCTAAGACATAACAGCTTTTTAGCTGACAATTTTCTTCTTACCCTGAATTAAGAAAAAAAAATTTTTAAGTTATACAACATTCTTAGCCTAAATTAAATGGAAGATACACTGTGTATTTTTTATTGTGGTAAGATATACATAACAAAAAGTTTAGCATTTTAGCCACTTTTAAGTGTACAGTTCTGGACATTAACATTCACATTGTTGTGCAAACATCACCACCCTCCATCTCAAAACTTTTTCATCTTCTCAAACTGAAACTTTGTCTCCATTAAAGCACTTACAGGCCATTCCTCCCTTCCCCCGGCTCTTGGCGACCCTCTAAATTATATTTTTAATAAGAAGAAAAAAGTAATCTCTTCTCCACCTGATGAATCTTCTTCAGGCCACACCCCATCAGCCAATTGCAAACCTGCTGCAGACCCTTACAACACTCCACTTTTAGAGCTTCTCATTCAGAGCAGACTGTGATTTAAAGGTATGAAATTCTAAATATATAATAAATTACATATATTTTAATATTCAAAAAGTTAAGCAAACAAAATTTAATTCTTCTAAAAGGAGCATGGATATGTAATCAGAAGTAGAAACTATGTCCCTGATGTAAAATAGTTATGATTCCAAAGAATCCTAGGGATCTATTGTCCATAAATTACAAGGGGCCACATGGTGCCCAAGTTCCTGTTGGAGAAGGAACTCAACACATCCCTCAACAAGTCCTCCACAGAGAGACTCTCCATTACGTTTTTTTTTTAACATGTTCAGGGTCTTTCAGAAATTTCATTTTATCAGAGGGCATAGAGAAAATGAACTTGCTTTATTTAAAAATGCTGAGGCAATATAAACTATTGTGTTTGTTATAAAACAAAAATAAAATCAGTTGTATGTGACTTATTTATTCCTTAGACTTCACACTATTTAAAGGAATAATGGGAAGACATTTTCAATATTTCGCTGCATGATAAAATTGTTTTACTTATTTCATGAATTAGCCATGGACGGTGTATTCTGGAATGTCACATGTGGCTTACATTCAGTGGAAACATTTTCAGGTAACTGAGGAGGCTCTGTTTCTATACTTGATCTGACAGATGGGCAGCAACATGCAGTAACCGGCATAATTCATACTCCGACAGACTGCTTTTCAATAAAGCACATACCCAGATGCTCTCCTCTCGTCGATATTGCTTCCAGTTCCTCCCGCCATCGCTGAACATCAGGAGGTAGCTGGTCACCCAGTCGGAGCTCCCGTATCCTCCCTGGGTGGCCACAGCTGTGACCTCCATTCTTTCTCCAAGGTCAATCTGCAGCCACTGGTATTTATTTGACACAAGGGGAGACCAGCCACCAGCCCCTTTTTGTGGGAATAAAAATAAGAAAACCGGTAAGGACAGAGAAATCTTTGAAATCTATATTAACCTGTAAGAATGGGATCATAAATAAGATTTATGAAAATCATAGTTTCAAATTCTGCATTATATAATGCTTCATAATTATACAGACACACACTCTCACACACAAACACAAAATAAAAACACAGGCTAAATGTAAATGGATGGAGCCTATATTAATTGTTTTGTTTCTTAGTTCATAACCCCTGACTCTCTGGTATTGGGGTGTCCGGCTAAGTGAAATTGCTTAATGGAATAGGTGGACAACCAAACACCGTGCCATTACATCAGTGCTTGGAACTAGTGTCTTTATGGGCTTCAATGCATGACTTGCCCTTTGTTGGACATAAAGGAAAATCAAGCTAGAATACCTTAATTCTGGATTCCCAGCATGAGGAGGTACAATGTTGAATGTTGGGATAACAGAGATGTCTATGGCATAGCCCTACACTCAAGGTGCTTACAGACTCATAGGAGAAGCAGACATTTCACAGAACGATTTGAAATGCAATATGGGAGGGGTGGAGGTGAAAGTGCTTTCTGTGTAGGGAGGGAGAGTTCTAAAAAGGCAGCAAGGAGGGTGAGAGAGAACCCAGAGGAAGTGAATAAGGAGGAGTTTCTCAGGTGTTCAAGACAATAGGTGCAGAGTGGAAATTACTATGCTTTGTTTTCTCCAGTGCCTGTGAGAAACCAAAGAATTAGGGATACCTGTGAATGTATTATTGATATATTTTGTTCTTCTAGTTTAACAGAAACATGGGTTTTGAATTTGGATTTAGATGTCATATTAAATTTTCTGAATTTAAATTATTATGCAATATAAAAATTGGGAAATAGGTTTGAAATGCATTCTGGAACTGATATTTTGCTAATTATCCATGTCTAGAAAACACAGCGTCATGTAAACAGTGCCTAACACAAAAAAGCTAGCTTTAAAAAAATTATTCCCCAGGCTTCCCTGGTGGTGCAGTGGTTGAGAGTCCGCCTGCCGATGCAGGGGACGCGGGTTCGTGCCCCGGTCCGGGAAGATCCCACATGCCGCTTAGAGGCTAGGCCCGTGAGCCATGGCCGCTGAGCCTGCGCGAACAGAGCCTGTGCTCCGCAGTGGGAGAGGCCACGACAGTGAGAGGCCCACGTACCACAAAAAAAAAAAAAAATTATTCCCCATTGTCCTGACATCTATTTTGAGGCTCTCATAATAAGGTCTGACACTTTAGACAACATTTATTATCTTTTTATTCGGGGCTATTATTAACATCCATGTCCTGTTTACAAAAACTGTTACGACCAAGTACATGTCAGGCGGTGTGTGACATGGCTACAAGACAGCTCAAAGGAAAATGGAAGTGGAGCACTTACATCAGGGTGTGGAGGTGAAACTCGCAAGTGGGCACATCTGTTGCTTCACTATGTCCTCCACTAACTGCACTACATGTATAACCCTTAGCAAAATTTAAAGCGTACAAATTCTTTAAAACTCAAATTCTTTCTAAGATTTCCTCATTTCCTGCAATCTTTATTCCAAAATTTCCTCTCAATCACAAGCACAATGTCTTTTCCTTTGATCCACATCTTAAATACGCCACAACTCTGGTGGTTCTGTAATGTATTTTTAAACTTTTTATTTTGAAATAATTTCAGATTTACAAACGAGCTGCAAAGACGGGATAGGGAATTCCTGTCTAAGTTTTACTCAGTGTGTCCTAATGTTAATATCTTACATCACCATGGTATTTTTTATCAAAACTAAGCTATTAACACTGGTACAATGGTAACAAAACGACAAACTATTTTGATGTCTCCAGTTTTTCCCCTAACTCCCTTTTTCTGTTCCAGGATCCCACATTGCATTTAGTCACCTTGTCTCCTTAGTGTCTTCCAACCTGTGATAATTTTCAGTCTTTCTTTGTCTTTAATAACAAGATTGATCACCACCCAACACCTCCCTGCTACTTCTACTGATTTGTGCAAAGGTCCCATCTAATGTTTGATGAATGATAAGTCCTTCTGGGTTCTAGCTGAGGGTTAACTAATAGTCCCAAGTAACATTACTCTGCAACTGCCTGTAATTTTATAATAATTGCCAAAAGAAGTCAGAAATTAGGTGTTGGCATTTAGCTGATCATTTTAACTTAAAGGTTCTACATTTGAAGTTTTATATGAATCAGTTTAAATCTCTGAGAAACTGCTAAGTGTCCTGTATTCTTAGTATCAAAGTTGTAAAGAATGTACTGAAGATACTTTTTCTTTTTGCATTTCACAATCTTTCTCTGTCATCTTTAATTTCTCTTGAAGCAGGAATTAGCATTAACACGGGTACCACATGTACAGAAATGCAAGAGTGAAAAACATCAGCATGCTTCCAGCATGTTGCCCTGGGACCAGCCTCTCCCACAGATGCAGCCACATCTCTGTCAACCACTCTTCAACATCTGCAGGTAATCAACCTTGAACATTTCATATTCCTTACCCGTGGTGAGAAGGTGCTACTGGTATGCAAATTAAGCTATCTGATTAAGTAGATACCCTGATAAAGTAATGAAACTGCAGAATTCCCTGTGCTGCAAAACAATTCATTTCAGCTGGATAACACAGCCATGGCGTAATCCCCAGACCCCTGTAGGGTGATGGTGTGAGTTACTGTGCATTCGCCCATGCACACAGTCCACTGGGGTAGATGCCCTTTTTTCTAATGACTGGAAAAAGTGGGAAATGCACAAATATAACCTGAGGACTGTTAGGGAGCACCAAACAATTTTACTGAGGGGTAAGGGAGATCACTATTCTGTAATGGAAAACAAAACAAAATACACTGAAACAACATTAAAGTGGGTAAGCTTGAGCACAGCCACCCCACCAGCTGGCAGCTGCAGAGCAGTGGTTCTGAAACTGATCAGCCTGCATTATTAAATGTTGCAAATCTTCAGTAAATTCCCCCTGGGAACCAATACCCCCTGAAACAGAGCCCAGGAATTTGCAATTACTGTTTTGGAGTCACCAGTGCTGAACCCACAAGAAAAGCACTTACCCTCCCACCCAGCTCTTCCCCTGACCGCATCACAGACTGTCTTTTTCCATTGTCACCCTCCTGTCTCCTGCCTCAGCCCCTTAGTTGAATAAAGTGTCACAATTTATACAAAGGAGAACATGTCCAGAGGGTCTGACTTGCACAGAACAAGGTTCCACAGCTTGGGACACTGAACACAAAACATCCCTCCCAGCAAAATGTGATAGGTATGCTTTAGGGCTGCAATGAGAATTCAAGAAGCTGTGTTAGAGCATCTAGCACAATACTTTCTCTCCCAAACACGATCACAAGACGGGAGACAGTCATGGTGAAAGAGGGATGACATCCAGAGCGTGGGGCATTGCAGTCTTTTCATTACTGAATGGCCCATTACCTGCCACTTTATACTAGATAAAGGAGAGAAAATGAGGAAAGCCAAAACTTGTCACAAGCATGTGATGTGTTCAGGACCCTCCCAGATGCTCTAAGTGCTACGTCACAACTCCTCCACGCACCAGGCAAGTGGGACAGGTGTTACAATCTCTGCTTTGCAGACAAGCAAAAAACAATCATTTTAGGTTCGTGTGAGGGTATTTTATTAAAGCTTAGCTCCCTTTTCATTCTCTACCCCTTCTAAGAACATATCCCTGTGATTTGTCAGTTATTCAGTATTGTTTGCTTATCAATAGCCAGACTGTCTTTTATACTGATATACTGGCAGATATCTTGGAAGGTTTCTGTCTCTAGTTATCCCTGTGTGATTGTTTCCCCCACCTTTGGTTGGCTCAGACACAGGCAGTGACTTGTGTCTCTGGGGAGAGGAAAGGCTGAACAGGAAACTCTCAGCTAGGGCCCTAATTATTCTGGTCACTGATCAAGATGAAAATGACCCCTACTCCTGGTGGCCACGGGGCATGCACTGTCATAATGAGTATCAGCTTTGTGCAGAGGGGGAAATTACCCAGAGGTGGAAATTACCCAGAGGTGAAAAGGAGAATAGCTCATGCTTTCTTCAAGTTGGAACAAGGTCCAGGGCAGAAAGATACCTAAGGGAGCAAAGTCAAGTGGGATAATTTGACGTGAACAGATTCACCTATCTCCAGGGCATCTAAATGTCAAACAAGTAAATGGCTAAATTGAAATGGTAACCAAGGGAAGTTTCCCTCCAAGATCTTCATTACATTGTCTCAGATGGGAGCTCATCAAGCTCTGTGTATTTCTTTCTTCACTTAAATGCATCTTAATTCACAGAAAACTCATTCCAGATTCCAGGCAGGGCTGGGTGAGTGGGGACAGGGTGAGATAAGCAGGAGTGACAGATGTTCCCAGGAAAAAGGGGCCATAGGGCGGCAGGGCCTGGGGATGCTCCCTGACCATCCCACTCAGAGATCTCTGGGATGTATATATTGACGTTTTTGTCACAACCCTGCCTACATTGCTGAGGGAAATTTAAGCATTTGCTCCAGCTCTGATTTCTTAAGGAGCAATTCCAACTATCTACATATACCATTTCTGGCTATCAGGATGTAAAAAATGCAGAAATCCTCCCTCTGGACCTGTCTAGGTAACCTCTGATTCCCTTTCTGCTATGCAGTCTGCTAGCAGCCTGAGCAGGACAGAACAGGTAGTTTTCCAAAAACTGCATCCATAATGAAAAAATCACACACAGCTGCCTAATTGTAAAACAGATTCCTGTACTAAATGCAGACATACCCTATAATGGTTTTGTAAACAGACAATTAAAACTTAAATAAAAATAAGTGTATACTTGTTAATTTGTGATTCAAATTAAATGCCAGTAATATTAAAGGAAAAAAACACACTGTGACTGTTCACATGTGACTCCCGTAAGTTCTACGTGCAGTGTCCCCAGTGACCACTTTCAATGCCCTTGGCATTTAAC